AAATTGAAAAAAAATTGAATAGTACCATAATTTTGAACGACCTTTCATTACGATAATTTATTATAAACATACGTGGTATTGTTGCCATTCAATGCAGCGATGGATATTTGAGATGTTCATTATTGAGTGAAGACGTAATAGGAGAGATAAAATTTTGTAAATTTTATGTATTTTTATTTGCAATCTGCCACAACCGATCATAACCAAATCTTTTGACGAAGTTTTACAATGGTGCGTGAAGGAACTGGGCATTGACAGTCCTTCTTGGGCTCATTTTCTGTAGTAAACAAATATAAAAAGTATAGTATTAATATAACATCACTAGACAAATTTTTCGTGTATGATCACATACGAGGCGCACCCAGAAAGTTCGGTTCCCTATTGTTTTGCTTTGAAAGCGCACGCATTTAGGCGGGGAAGTTGTGCATACGTAACAGATCTCTGACGCATCAATCATGCGCCGGCCGCACAGACATCGGAGTGCTACACAGTTTTTTTCAACTTTCCCCCCGCCAGTAACCCTGGCGAGGCGGGAGTTTATTTCCTTCTTGGGGTACAACATACGCCGCAGCTCTACGGCTTATGCGGCAAGGAGGGGGCAGAACGTACTTACTAACTTATTTCTAACTTAACTTATGGATGAAGCCGGCACTTTGGCCGGCAACCTAAGATTAGCAAAAGAATTTTTGTATTTTACTACATGCTTATGTGTTTTAATTTTCTTGGAATTTGTTTTCCATTCACACGTCATTCACACTATGATCTATTTACACAGTTCGTAGCAGTATGCTACACAGTTCGTAGCAGCGTGGTGCTCAGCGGGTGTCGGGAACACTTGGACACGTGTTGAATGCACAAAGGAAGCGGCAGGAAGCGGCCCAGGCTGAGCCCAAGGGGTGCAGTTTCAGTGGGTACCTGCCATCTTTGCACCAGATGAGTCGCAAGACCAGAGAATCACACCCGGGGGTTGGCGACGCGGTCACAGCGAGGCTACAAAGCCGGGTGGGCTCTAAAAAGGGCAGAATTGTTCTTCAACTTTTGTCGCCTAGCCTTTGCGAGCACGTCAGTGTGCGCGGGAGGCCGCAAGCTTGCCGGAGTTAAATAATGTCGATGGCTAGTCGACAGATTCTCCAAACAGACTCGGTGAAATGAAACTCAGAGAGTAACAACACACTAAGTTTATTACAGAAGCAAAATACAAAGTAACACAAATTTCTAATGAAAGTCAAAATGGTAGTGAACAGAATACAATATTTTCTTACAGCTATATACGCGCTACCCCCACTTCTGTTTCCAGATAGAGGTTGGAGAAGGGGTAACACTTGGCATTGCCAGTTAGAGCAAGCGCGCTCCGGGTGGCCCTTATCAGGGAAGGGGATGAGCGCCTCAGGCGAGGGAACTCGGGATATCACGGCGGGTGAAAGGTTGAAGTGACCCTTTAAATTATGTGTAGGTCAAAGGGGCAGGCTTCAGTATCGACGGAATATTCCATCCCTATCCGGTAACTTATTGGGGTCACAGAAGGCGCCTCTTCCTCCGATCCCAAAATACAACTTTATCGGGAGGACGCCATGTCATTTGGCGTAATTGAAGGCGTAAGCCCTCTCTTGTTCTGGGGTACATGGTGTACTACGCACCGTCTGTACGTTGGGATATAACACCGGTATGAGCGCCGGGCACATGTCGGCAGTGCATTTGGTAGTTAGCGGATGCTAACGAGGAGCAAATGCTCTTGTAGAAAATGGTACGGCACTTATATATATGTAAATAAACTCTGTATATACCAAAGCCATCTTGTCTGTGTTGTGTCCAGCCTATGACGTCACACTAGTAGCGCGCCAGCCGTGGCTAGAAATAGCAGCGCTTATTCATTCCCCGCCGCTTGCGAGGTTCGGTGCGTAATGAAGTTCCTTAATACACAACACATGGCGCCGAATCATCGAAATTCATCGCCAGCTCTTGCTGGCTTGCTTAATGCAGCTGTTGGCATGTTCTTACTGGCGTGCTTGCTGAGCTGCTCCATGACAATGCTTGTTCACATACGGCGTGGCAAACAGCGACCGTTCTGAAGGAGTTCGGTTGGGAGCTGTTTGATGATCCAGTCCTAATATCGCACCTAGCGATTTTCGTCTTTTCCTGCATCTGAAGACGATCTTGTTCTTTTATCAGCGTTTCCACAACGACGAGGAGCTGAAGATGATTGTGCCATGCTGGTCTAGTCGCTGGCAGCACACTTCTACGAGACGAGAATGCAAAAGTTGATGACAAGTGTCTCTATTCATGTGGTGATTATATGGACAAATAGCTCAAACATTTCTGTACCTGTTGCCAAAAAAGTTTTTCATGTAACTACGCTGTCGTTTATTTCTCAAAATAGGGAAACTTACTTTCTGGATGCGGTACGTATCTTGCATTTAGGATTGTATTCATGAGCATGACTTCACTCGAAGCTTACGCAAGCTTACTTTGAGAGCCGAAGTTGGCTTTAGAACAAATCGAATTCATAGAGGAAATTCCACAAAGTAGCTCTGGCAGTAGTAGACTTAGATAAGTTACAATTGAAACATTTACAGTTGGCAAAATTATGTCTCTCAACATTTCATTGTTTTTCTTATTATGTTGTTTTGTGAGCACGAAGGAGTCAGCAGTTTATCCTGTTGATTGCAGTAGAATTATTTATAACAACTTAATAAACCCATTTGATTTAAATACGACCAGATACAATTTAGATACGATTTTGCGTATTCAATTACTAATTAAACGTTAACCATGAGTTCATGGCGTGTCAAACCTCCTGAAAAAAAATTGGGTTTGCAACCTTTTTCTCCATTTTTTGTAAAGTGTTATAATACTAGTAAAAGGCAAGTTATATTGTAATATTATTTTTCTATTTATCTGTCCAGAACGTTTTGAGATATAGGGAAATATGTATATGGATCTTTTCCCAAGTCAAGCCTCAATAACTCAAAAAAAAATTCTTCTCCAATAAAATTAAAAAATAATTGAAACAGATGTCTACAGGTTGAGTGTGAGGATGAGTTCACATGGAATGATTTTGTAATTTAAAAAATCCAAAATGTTAGCTTCTGTAGTGTCAATATACAGTAAGATTTTTTTCGATTTTTTCTTCTTTGCTCTCGGGGAGAAAAATCTTTGAATTCATAGGAAATAATGTGATATATCTGCTTCCTTAAAATGAAAGTTTGTTAAAATATTGTAACAGTATAACACAAATAAAATAGAGAAAGGATATTTATTAGAACATTAACCTTCATTAAATTTGTTCAAAATCCAATTTGTTCGCGTCCAATAAGCTATAGGGAAAGGTGTTAATTATATAAACATTAATATTCAATTTATTAAATATTCTGCAAATGGTTGGCTGAATTAATCGTCGAAAATTTGTCGAAATCAATTTGAAAGTTACCTGAAAATCCGAAAACATAATCAGCTATTGTCATTAACAAAATAATAGTTAAAATGAATGAGCAATTGAACATAACCTAACACAATATTTCCAACCCAATGGTAATGAGTTTTGTAAAATCATTTTACCTGTAACATAATATCATAGAGAAATTAAAAATTCGATTATGAAAGGTAGTTCTCTAGTATTGTTCTTTCGCAGGTCATTTATCGAGGATGTCTAACAACATGCGCTTTTCAACTCTGAAGCATTTCGTGAACTCGCTTTCCGTGTAAAATTCAATTCGGATTTTGTGCATCACGGATAATTTGCATAGGCTATCAGGCATAGGTACTCAAGAACTTTCTCGATGTCTTCAATATCTTCTACAAAATGAACGGGTATATCCATATCAGTCATTCTGGGAATCTTCTGATCTCAAAGTTTACTTTGCGAAGTCCAAGTACAGAAAATGTGACTTGGAAATGAAGTCGCTTTCTAACCTCATAGTAACGACTATGTTATGGAAATAGCTACTTACAAGTTTCAAAGCCTAAGTCAAATTCTAAGTTTTGTTCATGAAAACTACCCTAAATAATCAAACCTATTTAAGAGATCCATAGGATGTAATCTGTAAAATCTTCTTCAAACTTAGCTATTTTTAAGTAAGTTTATTGTTTGGTAATTTGGGTGATTTTCTAGGCGTTATTAATATTTTTGGAAACTGAATTGGACTTCTTAGTAAATTGTGGATATAATGAAGTATTTTTGCAATGTTTCATTTAAAACAAACCACGGGGCATTGACAAGAAATCTTAGTTTTGATTGAAACGCTGCAATATATCTAGGTTCGAGTTGGCTGCAGTGCCCCAATGTTGTATTCCTTAAGTCCAGACTGATTTTAATATTGATTAATAAATCAATAGTTTATAAGCCAATGACAGACGACATTTTGCCTAGAAGCCAATAGGTATGCTTCATTTTGATGTCAAGGGCTTTTCATTTCTTTTTGACATGTGTCTTTGATGGAATTTATCTAGATGTAGACCAAGGTATTTTTCACAATCTGTCTGAAACTAAAACACTCTTGCCCTGGTTAGCGTTCCAACCAACAGTCCTAGCATCCGGGCTCTTAGGTAAACTACCTGGCTCAACCCCCTTCGCCGAAGGTTGAGATGTGTCTTTCTTGAGCATCGTAAAAGCGAAATAATTGTAATGTATTTTTCAGCACGACTAGTAATGGAACTTCTTAACTGTTCATTGACAGGATAGTTTTACTTTGCCCTACGCGTACCGCAAAAAGGGATGGTCATATAAAACAACTGGGTTCTACGAAGTAAATAAGACACTGGCTGCCACTTCAAATATTAAGACTAGTCCCAAAAATGTGTAGTTGCAAGTTTCCATGAATTTGTACGAAAACTATTGTAAGCAACTGGTACGAAGGTGTTTTGGTGTATTCATTTCAGGGTCCACGTTTCATTCGAACACTAACACGTGCCACTTTCTGTACTGGTTAGGAAATAACTATTGACGGTTGAAATCCCTTCGCTCATTTGCTGCCTTACTTTGTGGCACGTCCGTCCTTACGCAGGGCGGGTGATGGCGCCGATCGCCGAGCTGGACCTGCTCAAGTGCTCCCCGCCGCGCTACTGCGTGCTGTCGCCCGAGGAGCTGGACCTGGAGGTGCGCGTGTCGTCGTCGGCGGTGCGCTCGCTGTGGGAGGCGCCGAGCGACGACGAGGAGGACATGGACGACTTCGTGCCGCGCCCCGGCACCTCCACGCCCATCAAGACACGCTGCCAGGACTCGCGGTAAGGGCCGCCTTCGCACCGAGACACTGGGCGTGGGAAAGGGAGGATTCGTGAGTCGCAACGTTACGGGCGTCGGTAGCCGTGATTGTCAACATTTAGGGTCCCTTCTCACGTCGCCACCGCTGCGCGCTTTCGAACACCGCGGCTCCTAGCAGAGCATTGATTTGAATGGAGATCTTCGTACATGCGGCGGGTTTGCGCCGCTGCGGCGTTCGGCGGCGAACTCTCGTTGCGTGAAGCGCAGGAGGGTATATGCGCCACGGCTAGAACACAGCTTCAAATGATGGTATTCCCACTGAGCTACCGGTCGCGGCGTTTTACCTGCTGCGGTCCCTTTGTTCATCGTCGCTGGAGGGTCGGCGAAACCTACCCCTGCCGAACCCACCCCCTTTCACGCCGGGCGGCGTGGCGAGCAGCGGTGGCAGCGTCGGAAGGGCTGTACTGCTTGACGGAAGCTCACCGCCGTGGGGACATGGGAAGGTCCCTTTACGACGCTACAGCGGCGCGTTTCCGATAAGCGGCAGGGCTCTTCCCACACCGCACTGCCGTAAAAGGGTAGACTCTGCAGGAGTAGGTTCCGCCGACCCTCCGGCGTCGAAGAACAAAGGGACCAGATAAAACGCCGTGACCGGCGGCGCAGTGGGAATACCTTCATTTAAAGCTATGTTCTGATAAGGGTGGCGCGTACGCCCTTCTGCACTTTTCGTGGCGGGGGTCCACCGTCGAACGCAGCAGTAGCGCGAGCCCACCGCATGGGGGAAGACCTCCATTGAAACCAATGCTCTGCCACGAGCCCCGCGACTTTCGGAAGCGCGCCGCGTTGTCAACGTGAGAAGGGTCCCTTAGGGTGCCTTCACACGCAGCCACTCGGCGGCGCCACCACCGAGAAGTGGCGGAGCCCTACCCACACAGCCAACGACGGGCGCCACCGACGGAAGACTGGAGGGGTAGGTTTCGTGAGTGGGACCAACGTGGGCTCAGGCAGTTGACAAGCAACGGCGGCGGCGAACAAAGGCGGAAGCAGGCAAAGATCGGTTCAGCGCCGCTTCTGTGGCGCGTCTCGTGTGAACGCTGCCATTTGGATCCGTGTTCTGTTAGTGTTGGCGCGAAGGCGATTCTGCGCTGCTGCTAGCCGGAGTCCGAAACCGAGTGCTACAGCACCGCGACTAAGGCGCTCGTGTGAAGACCTCCATTTAAACCAATGCTTTGCTAGCCAACGCTACAAAGCGCTGCTGGCTGGCGCCGTGGGAAGGGGCTCAGACATTTAAAAACCTTTTCTTCGAGCGGTGGTGCGAAAGCACGTGCTGCTGGTGGTGGTAGGTGCCCGCCAATGAACGCCGGAATAGCGCCACTCGTGTCAACATCTCCTTTTACTCAAATGCATTGCCAGCAGACGTGCCACTCGGAAGCGCATCTGAGTGCCTCCATGTGAATGGGGCACTAAGCTCAGAGGCGCGTTGGAGTGGTCTAGTGCGAAGGCTGCCATTTAAGACTATGGTCTGCTGGCGGTGGCGAGAAGGCGCGTCTGCTCTGCTGGGGGTGGCAGTGCATCAGTACGAACCGAATTACTCTTCTTTTTAACGAACGATTTCCAAGTTTTTTAAATCATTCGCATTTGCAGATTCCAGAACAGAAGGCTCATTACGCATGCATTCGCTAAGCCATACCTTTTATACTATTGAAAATTATTTATACTATTATATATTATATACTATTCAAAATTATTTATGCTATTTTTATACTATTGAATTGAATTGTCAAATTTTTGAAGTTTTCTTTAATTCAGAGAGTTCAAAGAAAATGAGACCTCCGTCATTCTTTTGAGCTCTTTCTTCCATCCGTGTATAAAATTTGGAGAAAAAATATGATTTTAAGATTAAAAAAAATCATGAATGTCAGACATAAATTCGAAAAACTACTAGTTTTTAAACAAAATAGTACATGATTTTTTTAAATTTCTGATTTTTTAAAACTAAATTTAAAGCAAAAATTGCTTTCCTTAAATTTGTAGTTTTGAAATGCTAACATTTGTAATTTTCGAAAATACAGAGAGTTTGATGAAAATGATACTACCACCATATTTTTGTCCGTCCCTTAATACATGCGAGGAGAAAATATAAAGAAAAAAATTGGTTTAAAAACATTAAAAATTATTTTTTTTAAATGCCTATATTTCGCGCAAAATTACAAGGAAACCACTCATTTTTGATAAATGGAACATGACCTTATATCAAGATATTTTTTTAAAGAACAGATTTCATAAAGATCTTTATCTTAAATATTGTTCCTATAATAAAAATAATAATAATAATAATAATAATAATAATAATAATAATAATAATAATAATAATAATA